TTTCAGAGAGGAAGGGAGAGGGGATTGAACCCACAACCCTGACATGTGCCCTGACTGGGAATGGAACCGTGACCTCCTGGTTCATAGGTCGAAGCTCAACCACTGAGCCATGCTGGCCGGCTGGCACTTTTCATATATTCTAAAAATCAGAGGGTAACAGACAAATGTGTGTTTTGTGGGTTTTTTTATTTTTCATTTTTTATTCAATTTATTGAGGTGATACTGGTTGACAACAGACAAATGTTCACAGTTTAGATCATGTCTGTTATGGGGTTGATTTTTTGCAAATTTGATTTTATATATATATATATATATATCCTTTCTTACCTTTAACACTGTCTTAGTACCCAATATTTTCAAAGAAACCACATATTCTCAATGCAACATTCTGGGAATGATCTTTTGAAAATGTTACATCATTGGTTAGGATACCAATGAACTATAATTGCTAGTATAAAAGTAGCTTTAAATGGAACACTGTTTCATATATAGCATTTAGTGAGCTTATATTATACACAATCGCATGTTAGATTACGTATAATTTTATCTATAAATAAAACACTATCCTGGAGCACATTCTTTACATAATGTATTATGTAATTTTAAGTGTTATTATATACACATGCTTCTACTCACTGAGCCAGTGGAGACTGGGGCTGTACATATGATCTTTGATGACAGACCGAGGTTCAAACCCTGGGTCTGTCACTTTCTACGTGACCTGGGGGAGTAACTTAACATTCCTCATCCTCGGTTTTCTCATCTTGAAAAAGGGTGTGATATGGTAACACATCTGATTGGACTGTTTTGAAGCTAACTGCGACCATGTGTGTAAAGTGCTAAACATCATGCCTAGCACATAACAAGTACTCAACAAGCAGCAACTACTCCCGTGGTTATGCTTTGTTGTTTTGTTCTGTTTTTGTTTTTAATCCTCACCTGAGGATATTTTTCCACTGATTTTTAGAGAGAGTGGAAGAGAGAGGGAAAGACAGAGAGAAATATCAATGTAAGAGAAACGCATCGATTGGTTGCCTCCTGCATGAGCCCCAACCAGGGCCCAGGCCGGGAAGGAGTCTGCAACAGAGGTATGTGCCCTTGACTGGAGTCGAACCCGGGATCCCTCAGTCTGCAGGCCAATGCTCTTTCCACTGAGTCAAACTGGCTAGGGCCTGTGGTTATGCTTTGTATGTCCTTGCCAGTTATATGTAATTATAATCTATATATACAAAAGCTTAAGTGACCGTTCAACCTTTCAACCGTTCAACCGGTAGCTATGACACGCACTGTACATCAAGGGGGCAGACGCTCAACACACAGGCATGGAAACATGGAACAGACTGATGA